CAGGCGGGCGGTAGCGCAGGCAACCCATCCCGATTTCTCCGGGCTGCACAGAGCTGTGCGGCCCCCGGGCAGGCTCCTTCCTCCCGGGCCCTTCATCCTGGGCGCCAGGCTCTCCCAAGCCCCGGGCAGCATCCTACGGGCAGCCCCAGCCCGGAGGCCTTGGGGACCACACGCACGGGACGGGTGGGTTAATGCCGGGCCAGGCGGGCGGTAGCGCAGGGCCCTGCAGGACACGGGCCCGGGGGGGGGCCAGGCGGGGGCTTGCACGTCCTGGGACGCTCCCTGCTTGTGTCTGGCAAGTCCATTTTGGAAAAGGACACTTGGGATTGGTGGAACATTTCCACCAATCAGGTAACAGCTGTGCACAGTTTGGTGCAGGAGAGCTGGCCCAGGGAGCAGGTGGAGGCTGCTGGAGTTAGCCCCGGCTCGAGGCCGGGTACCCGGAGCCCCGCAGCGGGGCTCAGCATTACGCTGAAAGCGCCCAGTGCCCAGAGCAGGGCCCGGGAAGGAGAAGGACCCTTCCAGTAGGGGCTTGGCTCCCAGAGGAGCTCCTTGGGTCCCAGCGCGAGGCCCAGGGCCCGGGGGAAGGACCCTCAATTAGAGGCCAAGGGCTCCAGGAGGCCCAAGATGGTGTAGGGAGCCAGAGGCCAGATGGACAGACCCCAGGGGGACCGAGACTTACCTGGAACCCCGGTCCTGCAGGGGAGGCGCCCCCGAGCTAGGGACCCTGGGGGGAATAGGCAGGCGGGAAGGCCCCACACACCCTCCGCTCTCCAGGGTCGGAGGGGAGGAGACCCCAAATATACCCCGGGGAGGGTTGTGTGGATCCCCAGGGGGCCTAGGGGGGAAGACCCTGTCCCTTTGAGGGACCAAGTGGTTGCAACCCAGGTCTAATAAGTGGTATGGTTATGTTTCCTATTCGGTATCTATTGCTAGTGGTGGTGTTATACATTGTTGGGTGTGTTAATGCTGTATAATGGGCGCTGTAAGGATGTCTTTATTAGCTAACCCACTTGTGGTGTAAACTTGCTGGATTGACTGTCCTGGGATCCACCCCTCTTCTGGGCCTGGGGCACGGGGACTTACCCGAATGCCCTCCCTAGGGCAGACTTCCTCTTGCTACCAGACCTTTATATGAATATTTGCATCTATACCTGTAACTATGTATCTTAACGTTTTATACGTACATGTTTGTAACTCGGTAATATGTAAATAGTTAAGAAGTTTGGGCCTGGGCGAACTCTACAGAGGAAAGAGGAATCCGCCCGAAAGTCCAGCATCCCTCCCACAGCACCCCTTTTTTTTTTTTTTTTTAACCTTTAAACATTTTATTAGAAAAACAGACCATAATAAAAGGCTCAAAACGACCGCCAACAGAGGCCTCACAAAGGGTAATACAAACATAAGACTTCAAAAATAACATAATGAACACATCGGAATTGATATCTGCCACCGCGTCCCACCCAGGTGAGAAGAGGGCACGCCCTTGGGTGGACCCGGGTTACATGTGCGTATGCAGGCTGGCCTTCGGCATTGCTGGCGAGCCCCCCGGGCTGGCCGGCAGAGAAGGAGCAGAGCAACCCAGCAGAGCTGCACAGAAGCAAGTTCATGGAAGTGAAAATGGGGCGGGGGGGGCGGACAAATTGAAGGCCCCCGGTGCGGGAGGATGCTGGGGCTGGGGCCACGGTGCTGCCTGGGACAAGGAGCAGGAAGGAAGCAGGGGCAGGCGTCTTGTCCACAGGATGAGTTTGGAGGGGCAGGAGGGGCGCCCTGGGCCCGGGGGAGGCACTGGAGCGGGGGATGACAAGAGATGTACACGGGTGGGGAGGCATTGGAGCGGGGGATGACAAGAGATGTACACGGGGCAGAGGCAGCTGCATGCCGTTTGCTCGGGTCTATGCCTGCTGCCTTTGCCAGGGCCCTGCGTGCCCTCCCTGTGCTGCTCGGCAGGGTGCAGGGCCCCCAGGGCAAGAGACACGGAAGAAAATACTAGTCCAAGCAGGTGGGTAAATTATTGTAAAAGCTCCCTATCTGAAGCTGGGCTCCTAAGTGAGTGGGGTGCTTAGCATACTTGAATAATCTTCAGGCCACTTACCTGGTTACCCAAAGCCTTTACAACCTACCTTGAGGGCTCTGTGGTTTTAAAACATGTGCACCTGTGTTCCCAGATGAGCTGTTGCAACAGCTTGGAGCACCTGTCTGGTCCTCTCGTTTGCCCTCCACTTATTGTGTCACCCACCTCAAGGACGGCGTTCATGTCACCCGTGATCATCACTGGCCGGCCATTGGGCACCGCTACCGTCATGTTCTTGAGGAAGGCGTGTTTCGCTGTCCTGGTAGCTGGTGCGTACGCACTCGGGAGCTCGAAGGTCCCTTCTTCTGTTTGCAGGGGGACCTGCAGCAACCTGCCTGCGATGATCTCTCTTTCCCCACTGCCCGGTCCTCACTGTCCCCAGACCAGGACGGGCCGTGTTGCCACCTCTTCTTGCAATCCAATCCCCACAGTGTGTAGAGCCGGGCAGGGCACGCTCCTGCAGACAAAGGACGTCTGCCTGCAGTTGCCCCGGGACCATCTCAGTGGTGTCCCATTTCTCCTCCCTGAGCGTGCTGCACACATTCACTGAGGCTATCGGGACCCCCATGAGTAGACGTGTGCTGGGGGATTGCGTCTGGAGCTTTCTCATTTCCACTGATTGGGTTTAGCGGTTTCCAGGCTCATTTCCTTCCTGCCCTGTCTGTGCCCTCCATTTCCACAGCTCTTTTGGGGCACCGTTGCTTGTCCTGCCATGGACTCTGCTCGAGAGGACCTGCCTCTCTTCCTTTGGGGCATGGACCCAGGGGACCTGGTCTTCCTCGAGGGGTCTGGTATTTCCCCCTCTCCTGCCTGGACTTCCATATCAGGGCCTTCACTCCCTTCCTCCTCTTCTGGGATACTATTGAGGTGCCCTCTTGGGAGTTTTGGGTCTCCCTTCCTCTTTGCTCCTTTTCCATCCGTTCCATCTCTTCAGTCAGTTCGTCCTCCCCCATCTGTTTGCTCAGTCCCTCGATCATCTTTTCCAAAGCTGGAGCTCTCTCCATCTTGCGGCCGGGTTTGATTTGCTGGGGGCTGGTCGAACCAAGCCTCAGGGTTTGCAACAACCCACCCCACCTGGCCTCGCTCAAGGGAGTGGGGAGAAAGAAATGGTTATTTTGACTGCAGCAGGGACCAATGATCAGTGCTACGTGGGACAGCCCCCTTCTAGATCATGGTCTCTCCGCTCAGGGGACATTGGATGATCCCGTGCCACGTGTCTCTGTGCAGGTGGCTTTGGCCGCGTCCTCTCCATCCTCCACTACTGATTTCTCGTAGTCGGTCTGGACTTTGCTCAGAGCCATTTTCACGCAGCCTACCACCTCTACGTCCGTGCGGCTGCACAACAGGAGGTTCCTGGCCTTCCACCGGGAGCTCCTGATGCAGGACGCAACCTGGTCGAACCGGGGTGACGGGCACCCCTGGTGTTTGGCGAGGTGCCCGTACAGCGCCACTTCTCTGGTCAGCCGGCTGGCACCCGTCACCGCTTCACAGAGCTGCGTCACCCTTGTCCATACCTCCTTGGTGCAGGTGCACAGCCTGAGGAGGGGGTTGATCATCCCAGTGGCTCCATGGCAGTGGGCCACAGGCAGCTGGGTCAGGCAGGGGGCCATGGGCAGCAGGGAGACCAGTGCGGTGTCCAGAAGCACCAGTAACACCGCCGTCTTCACAAGTGTCATGCCACCTCCTATACCTGCATGTGCACCAGGGCTCTCTCTACCCACCCCCGGTTCCAGCACAGGACGTTCAGATCGTCCATGTAGGCCGGGACCTTGGTCTCTCGGGTGCTGCTGCCCGGGATGTGGACTCCGCAGATCCCTGGGTCCTGCCCCAGGCGCTGAGCCAAGGGCTCGATGGCGCAGATGAACAGGATCGGGGAGAGCAGGCAGCCCTGCCGGACCCCCGACTCCACCGCGATCTGGGTGCTCAGGAAACGGTTGATCTGCATTTTGCTGCTCACTTCCGTGTAGAGGGTCCTGATCCAGGCCGCGAAGGTCGGGGGGACTCCCACCCGCTCCAGCGGCTGGAACAGGAACCGGTGGGACGCTTTGTCGTAGGCCTTCTCCTTGGCCAGGTTTAGGATTGCGACGCTCTGCCTCCTCTCCCTCTCCAGCTGGAGCGCGTCTCTCAGTGTGAAAGGTGAAAGATTTGTACGCTCGGAGGAGAAACCACATCTCTGGGTGCATTGCATCCCGGGTATGCCAATGAGCCCCGAGCCCCCCCCAGGGAGCCTGTCCAGGGGATTTACCGCGCAGTGGACTAATCTGCTGTGCAGTACGATAACGCTGGGTGCGTCTACACGAGATTGCAATGGGATTAGGGAAGGGCGGTGAGTGGGTGTGCCAGGGTGCGGGTGCATTTATTGTAACATGTGCTAGGAGCGTGTATATAATTAAATATATATTTTATATACCCCTGGGTGGCTCCGGACAGAGGCTCTGGAGGCGTCAGCTCTGTTCAGTCTGCTTCCAAATCCACTCAGGGAAGAGGGCAATCCTCAGCGCTGTCATCTTTATTCTGGCAGCCCGGGGGCCACGTGGGGCTGGGCCCCCCATGGACAGAGAGCCAGAGACAACCCACACCGCGGCTCCCACCCAGCCCCACCGCACAGGCCACACGTGGAGGGAGGGAAGCAGGAGCAGCCGCCACCAGCAGAGGCCTGGGGGCGACCTAGCCACGGC